GTTCTTAGTGATTCCATGAGCTCTTCTTCCCCATGTATGTGTTTGGCCCCACATAATCAGAAAAAAAAAAAAAAAAAAAAAAGCGTGTGTTCAAAGAATACCAGAGAATCTCCTGCCACTACCTTGGAGAAGGTCAGAAGGTCAGTCCCTACAAGAAATTCTTCAACCAAAATATTTCAACTGATAAACAGCAAGCTTACATTCTCATGGTCAAGACCCCATTACAATTTCAACAGTATTTTTTCCTTCTTCTATTATTTCCAGATGATGGGATCTGACTTTATTGCTTGTAGCACTTATACAATTAAGTGAGAGGTGAATCAGGGCCAGGTTGTTTGCCAAAAAACAAGTAAAACCCAAACACTTCATGTCACTGTTTATTTTTGCACTTTTCTTGAAGAAATCTTTAGGTCAGCTACCCCAAACTTCGGCTTCAGGATGCCTTGGAATAGGCTCTTGCTTAAGCTACCTTGTTTATACCTTTTTGAATAATTTCTCAAAGGGTGATTGTAGCCCAAAATATACTTACCACTGAGAATTTAAACAAAAATCAAGATTAAAAGTCCTCTGTTTTTTTCTGTATATGCAGAAATGAAACAGTAATTATACAATGCATATCTGCTCATTATAACTGAGATATTAATTTTATGTTACACCTACACAAAGAAAAAGTATTATTTGATAGATCTAAAATGAAAATGTTACTCCCTTGAAATTAACAGCAAAATTCCTGCTGAGTTTAATAAGCTAAGATTTCTTCCACAGAGTCTGATTTACTACTTTTCTGGATGAGTTGTATGCAAGGGTAACTCTACTGAAATCACTGGAATTCCTTTGGTATCGAAGAAGTGAAATTAAAAATCAGACAATCATTGTAGTTTTTACTGGAATAAAAATATTGCAGTTGAGGGATAAATGTTTAGGTAAATATAAATTGTCTGAGATATTCAAGACTGGCTTTTTAGACAGTTGCATACTTCTATAAAAGCCAAATATAAATACATATCATGTATTCATACCATTTTTATAAAATTGGAATCTTGCATAGACAAAACAGGGAAATTGCAGACTTACATCATTGCTAAATGAGTTTCTCTTTAAAAACTGCTCAGTGTTTTTTAGAACAAGAGCCAAATTCTGCCTCTTGATATACACATGCAAATTCCATTAAAGTAGCTGTAACTGCGCATTCATACTTGTGGGAATGATTTGGCTGTTTAAAGGCAGTTCTGAGAGCATTGACTGCTAGGGCTGCTAAGAATTTTCCAGTGGAAAAAAATATATATTATTTTTTGGTCAAAACCTGTTGATTTGTCAAAACTAAACATTTCCGTACAAACATATACGGCATGTTTGGCAGTGATCACATTTCTGGTCAAGGATAAAGAGAAAGCAAATGTCCATAGTACAGCCAACAAACACTTATGCCAAATAGAGGGGTAACGTTCATATTCATGCTTTCCCAGAAGTACTCCTTTCTCTCACAGTCCATGATGAATCCCTTGACCAGGATCCGTCTCCCTCACTTGGAGCTATTTCGTGCAGTTCTAGAAATTCAGTATTAATTGTGAAAGAGACTGCCTAATCATCACTTCCACATCTAGTAGCTTTGTATTCTTGACAGGAAAAGGAATAACTTGAGCCTCTCCTCCCTTCCAGGGGATTGTTCTTTTAACAGGCACTTTTGTTCCTGAATGAACAGGGCTTAAACACCCCCTGCCGCAAAAGGATTATGTCCATCTTAGAGTACTGGGAAAACTCTCTACCGGTCAGAAATGATAATGAGATGGAACACTTGTACATTCCACCCTCTTCTCTGAAAATACTTATATTTCTTAATATAAGTTATATTTCTTAATTTTGGTTTTACTTTGGAAATCTATATTTTTGTCTATACCAATATCTTTTGATATATTTGCTTCCCACTTGCAGCATTTCAGAAACAAAACTAATACTTCATTAAGCACTCATTTTTCAGGGTACTTGGGGATACAAACTAAGAGACAAACTTTTTTCATGCATACGTGCTAGACCAACAGCCGGAGAGACACCATGCTCCTAGTGCACTGTTTACCACAGCAGCTGATAACAGGCGGAGGGATGAGGCAGAAAGAGGGGAATTTAACACTAATAGTACATATTATGGATGGCTTATCTGGCTGGCCTCTGGAAGACAGTATGACAGAGTAAAGCACAACTTGTCAGAAGTGTGGTCATTAGGTTGAGATCTAAGTCCATCACCATGGACTTAGCAAGTCCTTAGCATGGACCAGCAAGACTAAAACAATTCTGATGTGCCAGTCCTGCTCTGTTTTTTCTGTTGGAAAGGTAAGCATTTCTTGCTCCCTCCCCACAACACTCCAGTGGAAGCCCCCTCCAGGGAAATGCAGCAGAAGCTGTTATGAGATGTGATTATCATTATATGTTCCAATACTTTTTTGGAGTGAGACATAGAGGTGCAATCAAGTTTGTCTCCCACTTCCCAGTTCTGTCAGCTCAGAAAGGAAGTCTCAGACTCTGTGAGCAGCTTGGCTGGCAAACAGAGGGGACAAGGCTTACTAGGTGAACAAACATAACATTAGTTTTCTCCACAGGCTGAATTTCACTCTGTCATTTAAATGTAGCACTGTTGACTTCTGTCCACCTTTAGACTCACTCCTTAGCTGTTTTTTGACAAATCCTTACTGTTGTGAATGAAATCCAAATGAAACCTTTTCTCCTCTTTTTTGTTCAAAACTGTTTGATTGCTCTGGAATGATGGAGCTGCTTTTCTATAGTTTGAAGTTGTTTGAAGTTACTTAGTTCATTGCCTTTCCTTCCTTCCTTCCTTCCTTCCTTCCTTCCTTCCTTCCTTCCTTCCTTCCTTCCTTCCTTCCTTCCTTCCTTCCTCCCTCCCTCCCTCCCTCCCTCCCTGCCTTCCTTCCTTCCTTCCTTCCTTCCTTCCTTCCTTCCTTCCTTCCTTCTTTCCTTCCTTCCTTCCTTCCTTCCTATTTCCCTATTTCTTTGTTACTTCTCTTTAGTTTTAACACTTTCACTTCTAACTGCAGTCCAGAGCCTTTAGGAAAATGCTTTCCCTTCAGCTGGGCCTCTTTCTATCTTATCAAATAATATTAGCTTGCACTCCATTTATACCACATATAGCCTTAGAAACTCTCATAGCTTTTAACCTGTCATGTAGATTAAGACCTCATTAAATTTCATACTACCTTCAGCATGATCATGTTACCTAATGTTAAAGATTTTGAAACAACATAATCAGCACTGATACAGAATAAAAGCAGAGGGATATTTCATCATACGGCTGCTAGTGGCTTCAATTGCTAGGAAGACAGTTTGCTGTTGGTTCAGTTTGATCTTTGTTGCTGTATGTGGCATTTCTGGACTAAGCTAATTGATTGGTATGTTTCTGAATTTGAATGAACACGTCCATGCTAATAGATAAAACACTGGTATTTGAAAATCAGTAAAGTGTGCGTGTGTGTACGTATATAAATATGTATATACATGCATATTTATTTAATATTTTATAAGCGTGAATAGATACAGGAATAAAATTCCCTTATATTTTTCTGGCACTTCTTACATGTTTGCAGAAAAAGCTGTTTAGAGAGGAATAACTGAAACCAAATAGAGGAATATACTCTGCTGAGGTTTCAGTGTTTGCAGTGTGGTAACAGCTATAGGCAATTATTTCTGAAGGCTGTTTTTGTGTGTGTGTATGTGTGTATGAGCACAGTATGAGCAGAGATTGAAAGTTCAGCCCTGCCACAGCAACTTTACAGATGAAGCATATTAAACAAGAGAAAGAGCCAGTGATCTAGTTTTATTAATAAGGAACAAAAATACAAAATGACTTGTTCTCAGTCATCTAGATGATCCTCCTACCATTTCTACGAGATGATTCACTCCTATCACAGCAAATACCTTTGCTACCAGTCCAGTCTTTAAACTTTACTGTACTGATGTTTCTGGTCCCGTCACAGATACAGAAAATCCTGAGAAAGATATAAAAAGAGAGATCTCAGTCTCATACAGCTCAAGTCCCTTGAGGATATGAGCACCTCATACCAGTTCTGTGTTTGCCCTAACAACAAGACACTTAAGTGCAAGTCTGCAGTCCACTGCTGATGGGGAACAGAGGCAGAGAATGGGCAGGAGCTGCCCACAGCAGCTGGGGGAGTGCAGGAGTTGAATTCAAGTTTTCCTGAGGTTTGACCTGGAGGTCTAACATTTGGTTCACCGTTTCTCCTCTGGGTGCTTAGCTAATCATCCAGAAGTCCTTATCAGGGCATTACAGACCTCCCTACAGGAGAGCACTGATTAACAATCACTTCGATACATTTCTCCACTTAATTTCTTTCTCTTTTTAAATGACTCTTGCTCTTCCAAAGGATTAGGCAACATAACAATATCATTATCATTTTCCTCTTGAAAGCATCTTGTTAGGTTGGCTTTTTTCTTTTCTTTTTTCTCTCTCTCTTTTTTTTTTTTTTTTCTTTTTTTCTCTTTTTATTTATTTATTTATTTATTTTGAGAAAGAAATAAAGGTGGAAGAAGAGCAAGACCACCTCTCTCCAAGTAGTTGGTGTAATTTCCTCCTGGGACAGACTGCTCCTCTTGACCTGCCCCCTCCCAGCCACAGCTCCTTCCCTGTGGAAGGCCTCCGAACCTGGCAGGATGAAGCTCTCCCCTGGCTGAGCCCAGATAGCCACTCGGAGGGCTTCCCTGTGTCATGTCCATTGTAAACTCCACCATACTTTTCCTGTGTCTGCACAACATCTCAGCTCATTAGGAAGACACGAGATAGCAGAAGGCCCGATATGGTGTGCAGCGGATCCCCCAAGCCCAGGAGATCCTCCTTCCCCTACCACACATGCATGGGACCCTTCACTTTAACCCAGCTTTGCCTTTTGTCTGAAGGGGAGAGACTATTTATGAGGAGTCATACAAAATAAACATGAAGAGTTCACCATAAAATATGACAACCACTTTAAATAATGTTGACTTAATTAAACTTTAAACTTTATTTATATATTTTATGGCTGTAGTGTGAGCTCTTCTCGGATGTTTACTTCAGTGAAAAATCCATCATGTGAGGGCCTTGAAAGGAATTAATCCCCTTACCCCTGGCACAGAACTCAGCTCCAACAATTCAGATCTAAATATTTAGTGATGGATGATACATGTTTATAGAACAGAGGGCAGCATGACATTTAAATGGGATCCAGGGTTGCTATAGTGAGAGTACATTGTTGAAAAGAAACGGGAAGCTGAAGCCATGCCAATTATCGGAAGCCGATAAGTCAGCCCCTTTTTGCCTGATTTTTTTTCCCTTCCATCTATCCCTTCTGGGTTTTTGAAGGCTTCTTCACAGAGTATTATGAGCAATTTTCAGAAGGAAAAGTTCTGCTGACTCTTGTACATTTGGTAGTGCATCCCATGGTTAAACTAATAGCCTCGTTGGGTGTCAGCCAAAGGTTACAGGCCTCTCAAAATATTCTTGGAAAAAAAAAAGAGTTTATCACTGAACTGAAGTTTCTCATTAGTAACCCTGTGTTGTCTAATCTGTGAAATTACATGATTAACTCTTTTGCAGAGACAGCTTCAGCCAGAGTTTGCAATCCCACAGGAAGTTATTAAAAGTATCACCAAGATAATTTCTCCGCTTTGTACTTGGCCCTTAGGGTAAAGGAAATACATCATTAGATGAGTACTTTATAAAAAAGCTATAGATCACTAACAATTATTAAATGGCTGTCAAGAATGATTATTATTTTAAAAGTTGAGGACTGTGCAATTTGAAAAACAAATAAAAAACCTTGAAAGAAATTACTTCCTTTGTTTTTGTATAGAAATTAGAAACATGCCTTCTCCCCCATTCTCTTTGAAGTGATTATTGGAATATAATCTTCCTCTGTACACAGCCATCTTACCTTCAACTATTCTTTTTGCATCTCTAAAAATACTCTTAAGGAAAGCAGCCACTTGTTATTAGGAGGAAATTCCTCAGTGGCCCAGAGGACAACAGGACCTCTTTACATGTGCTGACAATGACACTCAGTGCATGAGCTGTGAACCCTTGATGCTTCAAGTCACTGAAGCAGAGGTGGTGGTCCTTGCTTTTGGTGAAAGTTGAACTCAGAAATATCTGGGACGCAGAACATCCTCCAGTCACGTATTTTAGCTGAAGTCACTCACAGATGTTTTCCATGATTTGTTGCACTGGTTTTTGGCTTCCTTATGAGCTCCTCCCAGATCATTGGGTGGTTTAGCTTGCATCTTTTAGGAGAAAGGGTGACAGGATCTTTAGTAGCTTTCCCAGCTAGGCTTTTTTCCCCTTTTTTAAATTTTCTTTTGTTTTGTTTTCAACTGTTAGTGAAGTTGTGTTTAGAAGATGGAGATGCCTGCCAGGCTGTGAGTGTGATCCAGTGACAAAATTGTCCAGCAGGGATTGTGGTGGGACATCCAGTTGAATCATGTGAAAGTCACAAGAGGTTTAGACAGAGGTAAAGCTCATGGAAGCATGAAGCAGCAAGGATTCTTCTGGTTCTCAAATTATATCTAGCCAAACAATTCAGTATTATGGGTGTCAGCTATAAAGCCAACAGGAAACAGATGGAATTTTCAAAATATAGTAAGACTGTTCCTCCTCACACCCAGAAAAGGAAGACTGCTACCAGACACCTGGAAGAAAATTTATTCACGTTTCTGCAAGAATGTCAGATCTTTCAACCAAGCTGATTTTAGGAATTAACCACACATCCTCACAGCTCAGCTTTTGCGATTTCATTTCATTATGGTATCTCAATATAACTAATGTACCCATGCAGTATAACCTAGGAGTTAAGAAACAGTGCCTTGAATGAGAAGAGCTGAAGTCTAGTCTCAGCTGCATAGATGTGCTACCAGGTCAAGTGATTTGATCTTTCTAGGCGACATTACTTCTTCCTCTAATAAACTCTTCCTGACCTTATATAAGCCATAATCTTCTAGGACAAAAGTCAGTGGACTGTATAAATGCAATATGTGTTTATACATTTTCAATATAAGTGCAGTTTCAGTTGCTCACTTACCTTTTTCGTTCTGTAACACTTTCACTGGCTAAAACTGGTATCCTCCTAAGTGTTTGGAATAGAATTCCCTCCAATCTGCTCATTCTTATTTTTGAAAATAAATCTGAGAATTGTCTGGATTAATCTTGAATCCTTTTACTGATTAACCTAAAAGATCTACATGTCTAGCACTTTTCAAAAAGTTTAAATAGGGGAGGAGATTTTCTCTAAATTGCTGTATACATTTGATAATATTCTTCTTATTCCAGTTCTAGTTTCTAAAAATAAAATGACTGGAAGTCATTCTAAAGTGGAAGACTCAGCCTCCTTAATTTTCCATGATCTGCAAGTGATGAATTAATTTTTACTCTGTTTTATAGTAAAGAAAAAGAAGTCAGGTAAAAATTTCTCTAGTGTTTGTTAACCAATTAAAAAAGAGATGACATTTTTCTTCAGAAATTCTTCAGACACAAAAGATTCTGGAATGTATTCAGACTTGTGGTGCTTAAATAAATGCAACCTAAATATTTTGAGGCTTGTTTATTATCAGTGTGAGACGTCAATTTCAATATGAAGTTGGAAAATACTTGAAGATTTATAGGGAAGAAAAACACTGAATGATCTGCAAAAGGTATCTCAGGAAAACAAAACTGTTCCCAAATAAGAACAAATTTAGTTGTCCTTGCAGGTATCCATACTTCCATGGGAAAACTTTCAGGGGTCTGTGAATTGTAAATCATTGAAGAAAAAAAAGTGCATATGACACATGCATATCTGCAGAATGGAAAAGAATTACTTAAAAAAAAAAAAAAAAAAAAACTATGAATGTCAACACAAAATCTCTGGCTCACATGTATCACTTTGAATTGGAATTTTATAACATAGATCTCTGAATTTGTAGAAGATAATCAAATACACACTTCAGAGCTGATCAGAAAAACAATATCAATGCAATTCTAATTTGAGGGATGAATGCAGCATGCAATTTTCTTCTTGCAGTTTTTCATTCTCAGGAGTTTTATTCTCTCTAACTGAGGTTGATGGTAAAATACTAATTTATACAATTAGAGAGATCAGAAAATGTATATGAGAGAATCAATGTAATCAGGGACCAGTTCCTTCAGAACTCTTAGACATCATCGCACAGAATGGGTCGTACCTCATTTTAACATTCATTTCTGATGTGCAAGCGATACCTCCAAGAGATACAGGAGTGTGCCTTTGCTTTTACTGCAGATAAAACCTTTTTACCTTTATATCTGTGGGAGTAGTTGATTTGTTTTCATTTCAAAACCAGTTTGTTGCAGATGAGAACTGCGTTCTTTTCTGCAGTATTGACTCATTTTTCTTCTTGTACTACTGATTTTCCTTATTTATATCATCCAAGAAAGATCTCTTTACAGACAGAAAATATAACTTCAGCATCTGATCAAAGTTACATGTTAAATTACTACATTCTTTTTTTCAGAAGTCTTGTGTAACCATCCTTTCCTTAATACGTCCCTATTAGTTTTAAATTTCTTTCACTGGTCCGCATTCTGTCTAATTTGAGAGATGTTGGCCCTGGCTATTCTTGTCCTAAATGAATTTTTATCATGCAGCAAAGGATTGTGCTCTGTATGTATGCTTGGCATTTGCAAAACATGATAATATCTCTGTTTCATCTGCGGGGAAGAAGGAGGAAAGCTCTCTTGTGTCAGGGATGGATGTTTCCAAGAGCATCTCCTTTCCCTACCACTGAGTGGCTGTTTCGCATCACTAGAGGCAGCAGGAATGCAGCAGATCCCAGCTTAGGGTGAACCTCCCATCTTCTAATCACTCAGCTTCAGGTAAAGGCACAAGTATCATTATTACACCAAAGACTCATTCTATAAATGAACCAGGTAGGAGTGGTAGGAGTAGGTAGGATAGGTAGGAGTGGAAAAGTGGAGGGCCTTTCATGTTTGCTAGCAAGCATTCTGCATTTTCTAATGCCATGATTTGAAAGAGATGGATGAAGATAAAAAGAAATAATAGCTAGAACGAATGTGAAAAAAAAAAATCAAACCCTTCACTGAGTACTTGTTTTACACTTTTTGTCTTTACAGGTTATGTGCTTTTTAAAGCAAAAGTGTTGGGTTGCTTCAGCATTTCACTGCCAAATCAGAAAAAAAGATTCATGCGAAGCGTTATCCCTGCTTTTATTCATATTTGTAATTATTCTTACACTTCAAATGTGGGGAAAATCCATTATTCATAATACTATATTTTAGTTGGTAGAGCACCAGACTCACAGATGATTAGTGATAGTTGATGAAATGAACTTTTGCTAAAGTTCAGGGGTCTTGCATTATATAAAATTGAATTTCTAAAATCAGTGCCTTTGATGTCTTCCCAGTACAAATATTTTACTCACAATTAAGCACTTGGGACAAAAGTCTGAGAGAAGGGGGAGAGAGAAAGGGGAGGGGATATGTGGTTAAAGGCAGTCCTCAGCAGGACAACTTAAAAATATGACTATGATTTCTCAATAGCTGCTACTGACTTTCCGGTTTACATGAATTTGCCAAATGTATTTTCTTTGGGTCAGATCTTACTTGTCTTGCTCACACAAGTATTCTTATTGACTACTCCTGAGAATAAAGCAACCCAAATTTTGCTTACTCTTTCTGTTTAGCTAACTCCCTGAGGACCAATTCAAATAAACTAGAGTCCTATGTCACTGTATCAGTTAACAGGCTGTGATTTTATACTAATATTCACATTAGCAAAAATTTTTTTCAGGGGAAATACTTATCTTCCTTGGTCCTCTCAGAATGAAAACAAGGAAAGAAGAAAGGTTTTTCTGCCTTCAGAGTGGAAACCCTGTTATCCACAGGCCTGGCCAATCTACATGCTGTGATTAGCCCAGCTCTAAACAGATGCCGCTTCTGTAGTTCCTGCCATTTTTGCTGCTGTGATTTTGTTTGGAGTTTAATAGGCATACTTTTATGCTTTTTTATTTCCTTTTGCTTGGAAAGTTTTTGCCCAAATGTTTAATTTTCAGTGAAAAAGCCAACAGTAGTCTATCTGAAGCCTAACTTTTTATGCTGACAGCCACAAAGCTGCCACGAATTGAGCTTTTGCAAATCCCAGCAATGCTACAGCCTCACAGTGTACAAAACAGCTATCATTCTGCATTTATACCTGAATCTGAATATGTACCTGTATGTGCACCAGTACCTGTACTGACAAAGCTCTTTTCATACCTCTGTATGCTCTATTTTGCAATTAATTTCGGTTTCAGATATTTCAGACTATACAGTTGAATCTATTTGGGGTAAGAGAAGAATGTTTTAGGACATAATGTATAGTCTTCATTGCAAATAGAAGCAAGCATAATGAATGAGTTAGAGTGAATGACTGAAGAAAGCTATGGGTCCAAAAGGGAGCTGGGCTGAGATTCCTGGCATGTAGGTGTTATTTCTACTGCTTCTGGCAGCTTCCTTGGGGGACACTGGGTGAGTGGCTTCCCACATTGATTTAAATATTACTGTGCATGGAGCTTGGATTATCTCCTACTATACAAGCCTAAGCAGGGTCATGAACACCCAACTTCCAGGACAGATTGTAAGTGTGTTATGATGTATCACTTTTTTTTTTCCAATGCAATGTTCAGCGCTTTCAGCCCTTTGCTAGAAACTGTTTCTTTTGATTCTTTACTATTCCGTTTTTTCCCTACAACTTTTTTTTTTTTATTTATTTATTTTATTTTTTATTTTTTATTCCCTTCATGGAAATATGAAAACTCATTAATGAGAACTTTTCTTCTTTAAGTAGGTATGATGTTGTACTGGTTAAGACATTAGTTTGTATTCAATGATATTCATCACTACCTGCAATTAGATTTGACTGAGGACTTTGATCTTTACTTGAAAGTGTTGCCTTGCCCTTTCCTTCCTTGGCTAGCCAGTATGTCTGCTGCAGACAAGTCTGCATCTGGAAGAAGGCATCTTTTCCTTGGGTGGTAGGAAGTTTCTCCCTGACGTCACACGAGCAGCCACATGGACATTGTCAGAATCCCACAAAATTTGTCCTGCAAAAGAAATCAGTTCAGCCCCCAACCTTTTGCCTGGGGAGCTTGGGGAAAAATAGTTTTCCGTCTATAAACAGAAAGTTTGACCTGCTCATCTTAGCCAGCTTGTATAAACAGATCAGTTCATCAGGGAGGTGATGCAGGTTTCAGTAGGAAAGGGGGCACCCTCTGCACGTGTGAGACAGATCCTGGCTTGTTGCCCTGCTCCCCTCTCAGCACACAACAAAGCCTTTGGGATGCCTCCTCTGTCAGGTCACCTAATGCATGGTGCATGGTGCGAGGGGAGAAAAGGGGAATCGTTGCACTGTGTCTCTGGATCAGTAGGCACCAACAGACTAATGGCAGGGTGGGGAATAACCTCAGGGTACTTGGCTTTCAGCACACTCAGAGGGAAATGGTCACAGAAGATGGAAGAGGGGGAGTACCTGTTGCCAAATGGCTGTGATTACAGTGGTGGCAAACGTCCAGGGAAACAGAGCCTCAGTTCTGTTTTATCAGGATCCTTTGTAAATTGCTATTAAGAAGTATTTTTCAACAATCTCATTTTTATTAGCCGTTTGTGCCCATTATAGTTTTCTAGTTGCTAGTTTGTTATGGCTGTAACATAAATAAAGTTCTAAAAATGTCTCATTTGAGAAATTGCAGAGCTGGGCATACCATTTAGACACAGATAAAAGCAGATGTAAAGGGCTTTCTTTGTAATGGGTCTATTTTATATTTAATAGAACTGTCATATAAACCTATACTAGCATTTAAAATGCAGTTTCTAGGCTATAAAATAAACACCATTTCTAATATTGCTGTTGGCTTTCACCTATGGGACGCAGTTCATTAAAAGCTCTCTAAGGTATTTATGTGGGATTGCCATATGATTTACAATCTAAGAGCCACCCCAGGCAACAAATGTGTTTCTCCCCCACCTTAGGAACCAGTTCTTCAAAAATATTAATGATTCCTGCAGGATCACTCAGCCAGGAGGGACTCGTATGATCAGTGGTGCCTGTGCTGGTGGGGACTAGCACACCTTTTAGAGCAGGAGCTCTTCTAGGTACAAATGCCTCCTTCAGGAAGACTATGCCTGGGAACCACTTTTGCATTCTTGTCTCGGGTCTCTGTGGGAGGTAAGGCAGGGCTGCCTGTGCTGGATTTAGGGATTAGCTTGTTTGCTTGTCTGAGCTGGGCTGAACCACCCACTGGAGATGCCCACATCTCTCCATTGACTGTAGAAATAGGCATCCAAGTGAGGTGGTGAAAATAAGGTGGAAGCACCTGAACACAAGTTCTGCATTACTATGTGAAGATATGAGACAGCTTGAGCACGTTGCCTCTGACATGGTGCTAAATTTCATCCCAGGTTGAGATACACTTTTTATACTGTACTTGTCACTCAACAACATTTTGACTTCCTCCCTAAAGCAGTAGGATGCTTAAATCCTCTCGTACCTTACTGTCCTTCTGAGCCAGACCAAGAGCATGTAGTTCCTTCTCTCTGAACTGCCATTGATAAAATCTCCTCAAGTCTACTGGGTGAGGAAACATGAGGAAGAAGAGAAGCCATCTGCACACCGCTCTGCAGAGTGCCCTGACCAATCCCCCCATGGCACGCACTGACACAATGCTGCTCGTCACTGCCCAGCAGCAGGCAAGCACCTACACTGAGACAATCCTGGAAGCTAATGTCCCCTGTGGAAACAGCCTGCCTGCTTGCTGGCCGTAGGGCAGCATTGCTGTTATCAGAGGTGATGCTCTGTGCCTCCCCTGAAAGTTTCTGCGATCTCTGGCTCTGGCTCCTCAAAGCTTTGTTGGACTTTAACTGGCTGTACTGTTATTTTCCATGCCTCAAGCTGATTATTATTTGTTTAATGGAGCAAAATACTTCAGCCATTTCTGAGCCAGGAGCTGGGGGGGAGGGGGGGGGAATATATTTTATTTATTTATTTATTTATTTAATGTTGGCAGCCTCTTTTCCAAATGCCCTGCGCTTTCCAGGAGGCACTTGAGACTTGGCAGGGATGGGATCCTTTGTGCTGGTCAAGTGTCTACCACTTTCTCTTTTGATTCAAATCTAACAGGATTATATTGCTTTGAAAAATCAGACTGAGTGCAATGAATTAAGGTTTTGATTTTAACAGCTAAAATTTTCTATGAATCCATTCTCACTAGTATTCTGGATCTCTTCACAAGCCATGGATGCACCAAAACTGTTCCACACAGCCCAGCTTACACAAGCAGCTTGCCCAGTAGTACCAGGACAGACCTTGCCTTGCAATGATGCTCCATGTCTGTTGTGACTTTAGCTGCATTTGGGATCCAGCTGGCATGCTGTATCTTGGACCCTCAACATCTCAGGAAGACTGGGGAAGCGCTTGGAAAAGTAGCCTGTGACTCAGACAGAAATTTCATTGAGGATGTGGGGGAACTGTCTGAGGCAGTGCACAAGGATTATTTAAGCAACAAAAGTGGGAAGAGAAAGGAAGGTCTGAGAGATCTGGACAGGGCAAGCATGCAGAATAATACTGAGAAGAGGAAGCAGATATGTACTGGAGAAATGAGAGGGTCTAGCAGAAGAGAAGCAGCAGAGGAGAGGACTTCAGAAGCTGAGGTGGAACCCAAGCATCCCAAGACTTACTGTTCTACTGGCTTAAATAAATATTTCTGAGACCCACTTGCAGGGCACTTGTCTCACCCTCGTCTGATAGTGGTTCACAAGGAAAAGAAAGGGCAACAAGTTTTGTTTGTTCCTCTGTTAACACAAACAACTAAAGTACACACAAGAGACAGTAGTCTCCGAAAACCAAGCACATACACATGTCAAACTCTATTGGTCTCAATGCGGTATTTCAGGGGTTTTGTAATTTTAATTAGGAATGCCTACCTACTTGAACTTTATAAAAAGCTATAAAAAAAGCTTGTAAATTTGTTATGGTATCAAGCAGTTGAAAAGTAGGAAATATGTTACAAGTAAGGCTGACTGTGAAAATTGAGGTAGGTTCCCTTATGCTTGTACCTTGTAACAGGTTGTGAGATAAGTGTTAGCATTTTAGCAGGGCTTTCTGAATAAATGAGGATGGTGGGGAATGCTATGTATATGTGCATATGGGTGTGCAAGTGTGTCTGTTTATCTTCATGCAAGTCAATTACCCCATTACCCTGTAACTTGGCTTGTTTTAAGCTGAGTTTAACTGGGGGACACCACCCCAAGCTACTAGCCTCACACATGTTTTGTGACAGCATGGGCCCCGCCAAGCAAAGAGGTATCTCCTCTTGTCTTCACTCAGCTCACCAGATAGCAGGGGAGTCTCACAGACCACTGCCACCCCAAATTCCCTGGCCCCAGCAAAATCATTAGTCCATCTGTCAAGGTCAGCCCTCTGGTGTAAATAAAAAGTCACCAAGAACCAGCTCCAGTGCTGCATGATGAATGAGACATTACCCACCACGTGCCTGTTTCAGTGTGTTGTAAAAACCAGTGGAAGCTGGCTGTTGCAAATCTTTCTGGATTTACATTAACAGAAATGACAAGTTTTGGTTCAAACAGCTGAAAATGAGGCTCCAGGTGTGGCTTCTGCACTAGCTTTGTGCACAGGGGTGCTTGAGGAGGCACTGCAGTTCTGCCTACAGTTGGACTGAGCAATTCCAGCCAGAGGAATTGTGCTGTGACCAAATAACAACAACAACAAAAATATCAAAAATTAAGACTCACCATGGGCCCTGAGGATGAGTGGGAACTCCTGATTTTCGTCCTCTGGGGCAGCAGTTCCCTGTCAGTTAGGTCCTGTCACTGAACAGGAACATTGCAAAAATAATTGAATATTCATGGAATAATAAACAATCAATTCAATAAACAGTTCAGTTAAACAGCTTGCAAAGGAAGCCCTTAGTGGAGACACATCATTATCTTTCCATAACAGTCTTCAGTGTATTCAGACGTGGAGATAAATAGTTAAAAAGCCCACTTCACTTAACCTTAGACACTTCACAGCAGCCCATATGTTAGGATCCAGGCTGTTCTCAGCTCCCTTTAAAGTAGGTGATGATCTTAAGTGGCCAGAATCACCCTTTGGAGATATGTTTCTCCTCTGTCTACAGGAGGAGCCCATGCTGGCCATCCTCACCAGGCAACTCTCTGAGTGCCCAAAGTGGGTGGGATGAGATCAGGATGGAGGGGCTGATCTCCAGGCTCTTCTCGTGTAGCACAGCTGTATGGGAAAAGCCTGGGCAGTGGTGCTGTTAAAGGCTACTGAGCACCAGGGAGGCCAAAAGGGTTTCCAACAATGGTTTCCATCCTACTATTTAACCTTTTTATCTTGGGAAACATCTTCCAATGCCATCTCTTTACAAGTAGTATTTATGTTTCAGAAGTTCCTGAAAGCCTTCAGCTCTGTTGTGCCAAGCATTGAACAGAGTTATGAACTATTTTCCATCACAGATGATTGCATATAATGCTGAAGCTGTATTTGGATTATCTTTTTTCATCATAAATGGCCTAATTTTTACTGTATCATGTCCCATGCAGACCCAAGAAAGTTAATTGTCAGTATCTTTCCAAAATCAGGCTACTTTCCTTAAGGATTGTATATGCCAGGAAGAGAAGCATGTGCCAAGGTTTTGGTGTATCCTGAAGTCACATTGAAGTTAATGTACCATTAAGAGCCTTGCACAAGAGCTCTAACACAGGGCTGCCTGGCAACCAGGAGAAATCGTGCGGAGGCCAGGGAGCTGTAATGACTTCCTTATGACCCATCCCCAAACTGAGTGGAGCTCTGGCACAGCAGAGATTCTGGCCTATAACATGTAAATAAATAACAAACGGGAAAGTCAGTGCAAAAACTGAGATGAATGAAGTGGTTCACACAGCATGGCTATAGTTTTACGCTGTCTCCAGGCTATGGAAGGCAAGCCATCATACTTTGGTTCAGGTCCTCAAAATAATTTTTAGTGCCACAGAGGGTGACCTTTTTATTTATTTATTTATTTATTTTAATGAAAGCCCATGTTCTGGAGCTGCCTCTTTAAGATATAAAGAGAGCTAACAAGGATAGTACTTTTCAACAAAAACATTTGTAAGCTCTCCTTAGTACACAGATAAATGTAGTTTGGGACAGAAATATGGGTAAAATTCATTTTAAATTGATAGGTTAATCTTTAAATTGATTAATAGACTTCAGAAGAGCCTGCACTTCATATTTTTCTAAAACCTACATGAAAGACCACTTTTTATCTAAAGGGATCAGGAAAACAATTACCAGCGGGACTAAATCAACATTTATAAATGGGGCTCTTTCTAAGCAATTAGAAAACAAAGTTGGTAGCTTGTTCAATGGGTTGAATGAATTGCATGATGTATTGAAAAATTAAGTTCTCAAAATAAGGCCTAGAGCTACAGTGTTTAATTTTAGCCAGTAATGGACAAACTAAGTCTAGAAAACTTCATGGCAATATCACTACCATGTCCTGGGAGGGGTGATGGCTAGGGAATATGTTTCAAAATGTTATGAGCAGGCTGAAAAAGATGTCTAGGGAAAGATGGCAGACAGGTAAGCTGGCAGATGTCTGGTATGCTTCAGTGTGGAAAGAAGGGGTATATATGTAATAATTTAGGAAAGTGGGTGTGTGTTCCTCTACATTAGGAAAAAAAATAAAAATGAATTTAAGTCTGTATTATCTCAGTAAAAAATTACTAAGAGAAGGTATTATGTCATATAGTTCTGTCTGAGAGAGCACCAAGGGGATATGATGCTCCATTGAGCATCTAAATATTTCTGACTGCCTGTGAAAAGAAGTATTAATTAAGTCTGTCTGGGAATTTGCAAGAAACTATGATGATGAGAAGGCAAAATGGAAGAAGTCATGTTTCTATAGCAGAAGCTCAGCAGCAACAGCTGATCTATGACAGCAAGAGCAAGCCTCGATACTTCAAGCATAGCTTTTGGGCCTTGGCAAAACCTGTGTGTTGGAATGGGCCACTGCAGGAGTAGGGTTCCTTATCCCTGGACCCTCAATGTCCAGCTCATCATCTGGGGAGTTCATTTTGGTTTCCCTCTGGCTTGTCTCCTCACTGTGAAAACTGTCACAAAGAGGGCACAGTACAAGAATGGGACTGATCTTGCCCAGGCTTTGCCATCACAACCAGGAAACAAGCCACCAGGGCATGGACCCAGTCCTTGAACTTGAAACAGACCCAGTATCACATAAATAGCAGCACAGAAACACAGAAAGAAAAACATTTGTCATCTTGTAGTTAACAGACCCCCAAATGTCAGCAAGTTATTTAATATTGCTGACTGGTGGCTGAACAAGACAAAAATTCAACATGAGAAAACAAAGATAGACCAGATCATCTTGGGACCACATTTTCAGATCTTGACCCTAGAGAGACAAATCTGAACACTTTGTTTCCTCTTTGTTTCCACTTTGTTTCCAGCCTATATCAGCAGATATAGGCATCACCAATCGGACTGCTGAGGAAGATGACTCTGAGGATCCCCTAACCTTGAAGCCCAAAAGAGTCTTCCCACCTGTCCCCTCAGCTCTGCCAGCCTAACGGAAGGGGACAAGGTGGCTAGGAGGACACCATGGGATCATTCGGAAAGGAAAGAAAAGGAAAGGACATCAAGGAGGGCTCTGGTCCCATCCTGCCACTCAAAGATGGCTTGGACATGACACAGTCCATGATTCTCAAGTCTGCTCAGACCACAGAAAAGACTTTCTCCTTCTAGAAGGAGAAGTGCAAACTTCTCTCACAAGGTAAGCCTGTGAATGGTCTGGGCAAGAACAGGCAAATACAGACACTGGCTGGCAAGAAGTTGCCAACACCCGGACTGGTAAATTCCAGCTCCTGGCTTAGCAAAATGACACATTCACCAGCACATCTTTTGTGTGTTCACTGATATATTAAAGACTTTCTTAGGCAGGCTGGAAGGTAGGGAGTTTACATTTCCCTTTTTTTGTCTGTGTGTGTATGGTTGCTTGTTTGGTTTAGTTGTGTGTTTTGGGTGTTTGTTTTTTTTTTGTTTGTTTGCTTGTTTGTTTGGTTTTGTTTATTTATCTTGTTTGTTTCTTTTTTGGATTATTTACTTGTTTTTGAGGAAGGCTAAGAGAAATTAAGGAGAAATCTAAGACCCTCCTTTGTGAGCCAAAGAGTGTGGATGACTGAAAGTCTGGGCTGGCAGAGGAGGTCTCCTTAGAAATAATGAGAATAATGAAATGCTAATGTGACTTGTCTGTACAGATGGATCTCCAGCATAACAGAGCAATGAAATAGCACGTCCCTCAAAGGGGAACTCCTGAGCAGCGAAGCATAACTCTTGCCCAAGAGTTAAATGACAGTACATATCTTTGCTGTGAAATTACTGCAATGACAAAAATCCACACACAGATACACATGCACACTGACACTGGAAGAAAAGTTTTGTTGGCATTTATAAAATTGTAAGGTCAAAGTTAATTTTGTCAGATTTACTAATTGTTTTCAAACTGTGTCTTTTGTTTAAGCTGATTTAAAAGTAAACTCTGACTTACTGTGATTTTGTTTTAAATACCTTTTGGTAACAGTCATTCTGAATTATAAATAGCTTCATACTTCTTCCTCCTTATCAAACTTTGACGTATGCAAGATAATAAGAGGGATTTTAGAAATATTGATGCAAACCAGCAACCCCTGAATCATGTTAAGTCAATAGACCTTAAGAGTTAATGTTCAGATCACAGAGGGAGTGTTCAGTAAGGGGCTGGGGAAGGGAGAAAGACTTCCATGGCTTTTGAGCCAGAACCAATTCATTATTCACTCCATTTAAAATTGTCAAAGACAATTTTTGTAAGCATGCATCCGTTTCCCTTCTGTTTAGAGAGGTATAAGGCAGTATGACTACAAGTGAGCACAGTTAAAAGAAGATAGTCATGGCTTAGTGCATGCTGTAAGTGGATTGCTGTCATCACTAAAGCTAAACGAGGGGAACCAGGGGGAAGATGAGATGTCATACTAGCATTTGTCCACACTCATGTTCCAGTGGGTATTTCTGTGCGTTGCTTTGTTCCTTGAGATAATAATGTTTTCTTTCTCTAAATAAAGATTTGTTAAATTTGCTTTCCTGGAAGATATGTTCCAGGGATTGGATCAGGGCCTCCCTGTTCACTGCTGTCCCTGTCCTTAGAAATACTACACTGTGTTAACAGGAAAAGGGTGGCACAAAAAGCAAGAGTATTCCAAAGTCCCACTTGGGTTTTTTTCTTTGTGTTTTCTCTGAAATAGCCTGGCCCTATTCCTTCAATTATTAGCTATGTGACCAAATTTTGTGTATGTCAGCATGATTGTTGACTTCAGTGGGAATGCTTCCATGGGTAAAAAAGACCATATAACTTAAGCATTGGATGGGCTGAATCCTGTGTAAAATGGTTGAGATTTTTTACAACTTCTCTGTCCTCTTTGTTTTTTCAAGTCACAGTCTGTCATCTTATTGGCATGTCAAGCCTTGAAGAACCAGAGGAGGAGCTAGGAGACAGCAATGGTTGTTTTCTGTAAAAAAAAAAAAAAATAATAATAATAAAAAAAATAATCTGCAAAATCTGCAAAAAAGATGTATCTGCAAAACTGTGATCTCCAGGACATGTAAAATAATCTTTCCATCCTACTCAGAAATGATTCAGTCTCGGAGTACTGTGTCCAGTTCTGGGCATCATGCTTCAAGATGGCTATAAATAAAGTACATACAAAGTACAGAGATAAGCAAGTAGAATAATCAAAAGTCTAGAAGACATCACTGTGATACAGAGAATGTAGAGATGCAAATAAATTATTTTGTTTAATCTAGAGAAGACAAAGGGAGACATGACAACAGTCTGAAAGTATGCAATGTCTATAGCAAAGAGGAAGGGAATAACCTGTTCTCTATGTGCATGTGACAAAAAAGACATGTGCCTCACTTGCAAAATGAGACACTGATATCTCCTGATATTTGAATAACTTTCTAGTTATAAGCTAATAACTAATAAGATCATAGTTTATTTGCCTATGGAGGAAGGATGGAGATGGTGGAATCTCCTTCTGTGAAGGCCTTCAGGCAAACATCTGCATCTATGAATATCTGATTCTGTGTACTGGTAAGATGATTGTTAGAAGACCTCATGAGGTTCTCTCCAGCCGTATCTTCCATTAATGTAATTGACAAAATTCACAGTTATGTTGAATGAGGGCAAGAGTCTTATTACTGAGTAGGGAAGAGGCAGAAAGGACGAAAACACTTTGTTTTCGAACCTCAAATGGAGCTTGCAAAGTATCAACAATGTTCTTTTGACTGGTAAATTTATAAAAATAAATAAATCAATCAATAACGAAGCAACAACTTTAAAAGAATAAGTACAAAACTGTAATATGACTCTTTGGGGATGGTTTTTCTTCCTGCTCCCAGTGTCTTCTTATTGTTTTTCAAACTTTTTTTTTTTTTTAATTTTATCTTGAGATGAAAAGGTGGAAATGACATCACCAAAGAGCTTTTTACTTCAAACCCTTGTTGCCAGAATCATTTCAGAACTATTATCTGTAACAGTGGTGTTTATAATGATGAGATTTTTGTTATTTGCTACATCCAAAACCCAAGAAGACCAGAAAACCAGCAATACCCTCTTTCATACTACACTAATTTGACAGGAGTAAAATCTTGCAAATTATTATGGAGCTTTTTTTCTAAAGTGAATGAAAATGTGATCTGATTATATTCAAATAATGTACTCACATTTCTAAGGCTAAGTGGAAGACACTTTTGTTGGAACACTGGGACTAAGCAGGTATATAAAAATACAGAAATGAAAACATAATTTTCCTTTATTACCACAAAAAATAAGAGTCCTATATTGCTTATGGAAAGAGGAAACTGGAAAAAAAAAAAATGAGAGAAATTAATACAAAAGACCCTAAAGAAATGGAGCTGTCTTGCTCCTTATAAAAATAAATAAATAAATAAAATGGGAAAAAAGAGTTCAGCATGGATCCATATGGTGTGAGATTTCTCTTCTGTGACATTTTTATTAAGGTTATGTATATGACCGTTCATCTTCATTCTGCTGGTGCTAATTGCTGTCTATTGGACCCTTCGCTACTGTGTACAGAGAACACATGCTTCCCCTCGACACTGCCATCGCTGCGGGTGCACTGGATTGTTCTGCTGTCCTCAGATAGGAACCTGCTGCTGCTGCCTGACCGCAACAGCTGGGAATATTCTGCTTTTAAAAGCTTATCTTGTTGATACTTGAGTTGAGCTATTACACAGTGGAACAAGCAAACAGAATGAATGGACCCTCTGCGGGCAACTTATGGTAACAAAAAAAGCTTCCATGTGCTTTTGAATGTGTCTCTTGTCTTGGAATTGACAGTGATGTTTAGCATAGATGTTTCCTGCGAGGAAAGCGTAATGGTATTGAGCCAGGAACGGGCTAAAGAGAAACATGTACAGAAGACATGTTCAGCACTTAAGCTTCTTTGCAACTCTAAGCAACATTTAGCAACCAATTTTGCAAAGGTCTGCTGATGTGAACAGCCCCACTGAAATGCGAACGGCAGCTTTTTTGTCTAGAAAGGCTACTGCGATTCAGTGTTACTTTTATGCACAAAAGGAATATGTACAGTGGGTCTCAATCTGCTATGGAGCTTTTAAGAAATCAGCCTGAGAAAGGGTTACATTTATTTATCAGCATTAGGTCCGTACATACACATATGTACATGCAGATCAGAGTACAGAAGCAGCATTCCCATGTTATGGATGGACCACCCAGAGAAATATAGAAATCTATTAATTTTGCTTATCACTTAGTCACCAATTTAACAAAACCTCTAATAGTGTCATGAATTTTTCTGTCATGAAAGAAGTGTTACAATCATCTAATCTGACTTCCTACATAACGCAGACTCTAGAATTTCATCGAGCAATTCTGACTTACACATCCATGCATTTTATGGAACACCTGGAGAAGTAATTCCTATTGTAAAACTTAATATCAGCAATAAGGATAATTATCAGACTCAGTTCATGCAATTAGTGAATTTTAAGCAGTTACCTTCTTAAAACAGTGCCTTTTGTGAATGGTCCTGTGCTTAGCCATGCCTCAAACTACACACCAGTCTCACTACAGACTCCACATGACCTCTAGGCAGGAAAATCTCTCTTCTGAAGCCTTAATGGAGGTGTTGTCTGAGCAAGCACAGACCCTGAATGACACGTGCATTATTCTGTGCATGGACGAACATCTGAAAATTTGGCTCAGACCACACTGGGCAATCTGTGAGAGTTGAACTTGACACCTAACAGCCAGACTCACTTGTAATTGTGGTCTCACAGTGATGGTGATTCTTGCCATACAACCTCAGTTTTAACCCATTAACCTTACTTAAGCGGCCAGTTCTCATTGGCACAGGAGATCCATTGACCTGCGTTTCCTTTTCCAGTATTCTTGGCTTAAGGAAGCCAAAAATCCTCCTTGTTCCACTTTCTCGTTTGTGCTTAGGCAATTGTTTACAAGGTTATGAAGTAAAGTGAATGAGGATTAAAATTAACTCCACCTTTTTCCCTATTCTATTTAAAAAAAAATCCTATTCCATTAAAAAAGAATTATTATTCTTTTTCCAAATGTAACAATGTTCTTTCTTGGAGATGTTGATATATTTGGAAAAAGAATGATAATTTGGAGTCAATGTGTAAAGAATTCCTATTTTCTCTTTTTATCACTGTAGTGATAAAAAGTGGAAAAAAAAAATTACATCTGAAAAAAAATAATCATTTTAATGGATGTATAGGCTATTTTCACTCCCTGGCACTATTTAATCACTTTATAATTATTATATTTAGTTCATATTTGAAATGAAACTGCTTCCCAAGAAAGGACTGGAAAAAAAAATCTTGGAAACTGAACATAAAGTCGTAGAATAATAGAATCATAGAATTATTAAGATTGGAAAAGACCTCCAAGATCATCTGGTCCAACCATCCCCCACCTACCAATATCATCCACTAAACCATGTCCCTAAGTACCAATTATCCGGCAACTTCTCTTCTTATCAAATGCAAATACTTTAATACAACAAAGAACTATTACTTATTTTGGAAACCCTTTTCTGAAAATAACCCATTCCCATGATTTTTATTGATTTCTTTATTTTACCTGCACCTCATTAAGGACAAGTAGCACCTCAGAATGATAGCCAGCTCCGAGAACGAGCTCTCATGTTAGAGAAAGAATTCTGCATAGCATCCCAAGGTTATTAACAACTACAGAAATCATCACCAAAACAAACACACACAAAAAAAGAACACAATACCCAAGTATCCATTTCAACTAAGATATAAACCTGTCTCTGGTCAAAAGGCTTTCTCACTACTTTCTGAGAGCTGCTGTAGGGTTCTGGCCAAATTCCACGTAACACATATTAGTCTGGGGGCTGTGATGCTGCCTGGATGGGGCTAGATGCAGCCCCATTCCACGCTTTTTCTGCTACAACCAGTTGTTTAGTGTGCTGTTTGACTTTGGATTTGCTTCAGAATTGGTTGTATTTTATATAGCAAGAGAAAGTGATTCTTGTACTCACATTTTTATTTAACTGGACAAAGCTGTTTCTTTGGACAACACTATATAATCTTCACATTTTTAGTGACTAAAAGTGCTCCTAAATGTTAATCTTGAGCAATATTTTGCTGTCATTTCCTTCACCTCTTCCTTTTCTTTCTTGACCCTACCATAATTACATCTTGTTCTTACTGAGCACATCTTGCCCCACAGGGTTGTGGCATGACCAGTCAAATTATTATGGCTCTTTGTTCTCATGTACAAGAAAATAAGGATGCTGTCCTTACATGGGGATGGGAGGACCAGACAACACATTTGGATAAACGCCTTGTCAGCTTGGAAACGTCTTGTGAAATCCTGTTAATGTCTCTCTGCCATGCATGAGGCTTGCATCAAGTGCCTTTTTCAACAGCATCACTGTAGACAACCATTTATCAGGTGTATATTGTATGGCAGCGCGGTGTTTGGAAATTCCATTTGCCATATGTTATTCATGATCCTTGCTCACAGCCTTCATTTGTCAGGGGATTTAGATCTCAGCTGTGTTTAGTTTTTGGGGCTTGAGAACAAGTTGACCCACAGGCAGACACCTAATGATATAATTTGTTCAGTGCAAAAGGTTTGACTGCCCTCTATCAACCTTTATGCAGACAACTCCTTTGAATACAGTAATGGATGACAATATCAAAAGCATAAATCTCGGCAAACTTCAAGGTTTCCTGGAAAACATGACTCTTAAACTTTAGGCACATAGACATTTGGCACAATGTCAGAAACTTTCTGGACTATTCATTTATCCAACTCTGGCCAAAAATAACCAAAGACTCTATGTGTCTGTTGATTTGTTTTGAAATCCATTCAAAACGGCAAAGAAGTTAAAAAGTAAGAGACCGGCAATTGAGAAACAAGACTTCTGAAGTATGAAAGATCCTTTTCTGTATCTTACAACATGTGGTGCTAACA